GGTATACGCGCATACAGTATCTATGCGCATGTATACCAGAAAGTTATCATTCAAACACGGCATGTGTACATGCAAGCGTTTATGGCATGTGTACATGTGTGTGACATGTGCGTGTATATGCTGGCTGTTAACTTCTTTGCTTATACTCGCGTGTGGGGCGCGTTTGTGTATAGCTATTCGCGTGTGTATACGTATGTGCGCATGCGCGTGTATACCATGAACATATTGTATGAATACATGTGCGCCTATGGCCTTGGGCAAACACATCCAGGAGGAGCTTGCTTTCCAAAGCTGTTAGGTGTGCTCCGCTTTGTCGAGATGACGTTCGAAGGGGATCAAAGTGTTCCCACCCACCCAGCCCTTGCATGTTTTGAAGGGCTTCGACGAGTATCGGAGAGACCACCCGAAGCGCACCCTGCAGCTGGACTTGTTGGCGCCGGGAGGCCCTAGAAGACTCAGAGGCATGGGCACATATAGCTGGACATGCAGGTGTGTCTTACATTGTTGAGCTTGGCCGCTTTGAGGCTATCGCCTTTTATAACATTTATCTTCGTGTGTTTCCTTTGCTTTGGTCTCCAGGGTCCTTGCAAGCGAAGCACATACCCAACGCTTCATGTATCAGCTTTTGTGAAAGGGACGGCTTTGAACAAAAAGGAAAATGGTTCTGCCTGTTGACCGCAAAGTCGACATGAGCGCATGTCGATCAACGCATCAATCATTGATGCAGCAGAGCCTGATGTCCAAACAAACGTCACTGCCATGCCTCCGGCATACCATTCACATCTTGAGCCGCACCAACTGAGGCCCACAACGCGAAAGGAGTTTGGCTGCACTTGTTCAGCAAGCCGACCGGTCGAACATTGTGCAAAACTGTGCAACTAGTTTGGTGCCAGAAAGCACTCCAGAATACGCAGCAAACTCTTTGAGGAAAATGGACACCGCATGCGGATGAATCGCGCCTTACTTTGTGTGAGTTCTGGTGAATGCTACGAAGACGCTACCTTGCCTGTTTAGGAAGATTCTTGCCTGCAGCAGCTGGCTGCAAGGGGTGTCTTTACTGAGCTTTGAGTTTGCATGGATGTACCAACAACTGCACTGCCAAACGAAGCAAGCAGGTAACGCTCATCAATGAATCAGGCAAGCGCTGCTTGGGGCAATGCTTGGGGCTTGCTGAGGCCGATGCTCGCCGTGTGGAACATCACAGCCCCTCGGATGCCTCAAATCTCAAGAACGTGTCGAGCAGTTGTTCTGTTTTTCTCAGCCTTTTGGCAAAAGCAAGCCAAAAGAGAGCTGCCGATGTTGATGCCCAGTTGCTGTAAGTTTGTGCGGCCCTCTGCGTGTGTCTTTACATGCTCCGGGGTCCTGATATATATTTAAGTCTGGCGGGGAGCTTGGATGGTTGCTTTAGTATTGCCAATACTTAGTTTAGTATTGCCAGCACTTCCTGTTGGATTGACAGAACTTAGTTTGGTATTGCCGGCCGAGTTAAAATTCAGTATTGCCACTTACTCTCAGATTCCCAGAGCTTGGTTCAGTATTGCCTAGTTTGGATTGCCAGGACTTACTTTTAGAATTCCCGGTATGTGCTTAATGACACTAAAGAAAGCCCCTAAACAAGCATATCAAACAGGGTTCTAAAAGTTATCTTGGATTATGATGGTGTGGGGACCAGGTCTCAGGCTTTTACCCTTTGGGAAGAGCTTGGTTAGGAGAGCCGCCCTTCAAAGTTCAGTAACCCCCCCAATACAGTTGGACATTAAAGCGAGCCGGGAAAAAAGTTACATGAAGGCGAATCACGGCCTCTTGTGGGCACTCCCCCTTTGTGTGACAGTTTGCACTCATTTTTTGTATAAAGAAGTTATCTTAATTTTGATGCTTTGCGCACCACTTCAGAAAGGGGCCTGTGGCTTGTCTGCCCGGCCTTTTTTGCCCGATTTATTCGGGCCGTTTTTTTTTTGCCCGGATGCGTTTGTTGGCAAACACAACTTGACATAAATCATGGTACCGAAACAGTGGGAGGGTCGCGTTCAAGCTGAGGAAAATTTACATAATTCAGCGTACCAGTATGAAACCAGATGCGACAGCTTTCTTCAGTGCTAAGCTTTGCCACGGAGATACTGGGTTCTGATCAGTGCTTCGCTTACATCTCCCAAGCAGCATGTTAGTGCGCACGCAGGTGTGTTTTGGGAATAGTGTCGTTATGAATAGAGCATTAGGTCAGGCATTTCAGCTACACGGAAGCCTAAAACATCAGCTACAGCGAATTGTATGTTTGCAATGTGTGGGCTTCGGTGCATTGTGAAGCAGCACATGATCCTCAACCGAAACTTTGGCCAAACACAAGGCACGTACTCGCAAAAGAAGCAAGCTACCGTGAATAGCTTGCAGAGGCAACCTGGAAACAACTTCGCCGCAGTGTTGGCAGAAGAACTCATGGAATTTGGCTTCGCGAGAGGTAGCCCGTCAGCACTGCGGAAGCTTGGCAAGAAGGTTTCACGATGAGGGGGTCCCGGCACAACGGCATATGTTCGTTCAAACTGAATGCCACCACGTAATTTATGGATGCTTAACAACAGTTCACACACATCGCCTGGCTCAGTACCAATTGTCAGTTGCTGCGATACCATGATTGATTCATGGCTGCGGTTGCTCCAACTTTTGCCTTCTTGAGGAGCGCATATAGTTTTGTCAGCAGAAAACTAACATTCGACCGCAAGAACAACACCATGGTTGATGACACTTGTGGACACAGACACGCACACACGCTCCCAATCTGTGGCTCTCCAGCGCATGCGCCCTCCTGCAGCAGGTGTGGAGGTTGGATTTCGGCGCCAACGAGGTCGGGCTTCAAAGGTCGCGCAGTCAACTGCAGCTGTTGACCGCTGCAAGATTGTGACTTTTCTGAGGAGAACAACCGAAGCTCTGTTTGGATTATCTTTCTAATGGCTGCGTCCAGTGTACCAATGAGATTGTGGTACCTAGAGGTGTCCAAACATGAGATCCGTGAGTTCTTGGCATCCTCAATGTTCACTGCTGTTGACGGTGTCCAATGCATGAGTTTTGGGGTAATAATATCACGCTACAAACTTTGCTTGAGTCGTCATGATGCGCACTCAGGCAATCTACCTGGGTTTGCAGACTGCTTGCGACGAAACCAACAGTTGAGCTACCACTGAATAGTTCGAACACGGCATATGTCTTGGAGTGTGGAGAAGGGTGAAACCTTCCTTACTCAAAGCGACCGTTGAACACATAGGCTCCCATTGTGTACATCTGTTGTTTTTTTTTGCGAGCAGGCCTTGAGACGCAGCCTGAACGAAGCCTTGATACAAAACAAACAGTTGTTTGAGCCTTGGCGCCTTTGAATCACAGTGGATGAGCAGCCAGAGTTTCTATCGCGGGCCAATGTGTTTCCAAAACCCCTGGCAATCAAGTCATCAAGCTGCCAATAGGAACTCTTGTCTGTCACAAGAGCAGGTTGATGTAACTCATTGGGGATGCACACATGGCCAAAAACCCTGCAACACAAAGTTGGCTGCAGAGATGTTCCAGTCTTGGCACACAATGATTCTTGTGGCGGCTCTTGAACTGACCACATCATCTCAGGTGCTTTGCTTAGCATACCCAAAGCCTCCCTGAACGATTGGCTCTGGCGGAAAACTGCACAGATCTGCACCCTCGGTGCCACAACTCCAAGCTAATTGTCTTACCAGCTGAAACAAGACCCAGAAAGGGGCAAGCTATCGTTAGGCCCGGAGCCTGTTTTGGAAACAGCTGGCAACGTCACCTGCTGAGCACCGTGGTTGAGCAGAAGCCCAAGGCCTGTGTGGGCCATGTGACTTGCCAAGTAGTGGAATATGTTCTTGGCCACAGAGGCTCAAAGACAAGAACATCATTTTGTGATTTGCTCGCTCTTCTTGTAGGGTGCCTGTCTATACTTCTGGGTCTGCCTTTCAGTCTTGGAGGGTGTAACTCTACATACTGTACAAGGCGCATTGGCTGAACTGAGATATGTTGTTCCCGTCCTGGCCAGTGTCCTCCCGATCTTCTTCGACCGATTTCTGCGGGATATTCTGGCTACTTCTTCGTGCATCCTCACGCAAGGCTGGGCGAGCGTGCGATTTGTCATTCGGTCAGCAATCCAATCAGTCATTCCTGAGCCGTGCTTGGGTGATGGCTTGTGACAGTTTGGACGTGCGAGTAGTCAGGGTAGCGAGACAGTTTGGAAGCCTTGGAAACCTTGTCTTTCAGGATCGAAGAGACTCCGCAGAGACTGTTCTTATTTGAACCGTCATGCACTTGTGATCGAGCACTGGTCTTGGTGTCTGAGGTGTCCTGTGTTTCGTCTCATTGAGTTGAGGCATTGGCCGTGGCTGTGCAGCCCAAATGGTGAATTAAAGCAAACAGTTGGATGTGCACTTTGGCCCAAAGTCCGTCATAGAACTGTTATCATGTTGCTATCGAATGGCTAAAATTGACGTTGTATGAAAACCCCCAACCTGGAAATGCAGACGAGTTTGTGCTTTGCCAGAGCAATGAGCTTGTTATTTGTTGTGTCTGGAGAATGCTGGCTTCTTGTGCGTGCGATTCTGTTGAAATGTCGCAGTAGAGACGGCCCTGCTGGAGGCTGAAGCTTCTGCAGTGTCCCTGGAAGGTTAGGCTTCGACCTCCAGTGGCCTTTGTTACTTCCTTTTGGAGGGGGAATAACAACTACCGAACCAAAGGCGCCCATTTTCCTATGGGCACCGGAGGTCTGGTTGGCTGAGCTTGCTGTGAAGCACTTCGTTGACTCGTCCGGATCGCAGAGTCACCTCAAGTGACCTCGGCACATGCGCTGAGTGGGGTAGGAAGGCACGCCTTTCAAGCGGCGCCGAGCAAGAAGCAAGAGCATTGCCGCCCTTTGGCGCGCAAGTCCACCCAACACCAAGCGAACTTTGACCCCATGCCCTTTCAAAGTTGTCTTGCCACAAGAAGGATGCAATATGTTTCTGGTCTTCCAGGCTTGGCCGGTTCGGGTCCAAAGATCTGACCCCCAAAAACAAATCGCCGCGATCGCTCGGCTCGCGCCATGCGGCGGCTTCGCCTGGCGGACATGGTGTTAGCGGCCCCGCTGCTTCCCAAGGCGGCGGCAGGGTGTGTGTTTGTGTGTGGCCCGTGACACTTCACGCAGTGGTGGGAGATCCGGACAAAGCTCCGTCCAAAATGGGATTTCCTCTGTCAAGTGGTTGGAAATGCATCAAACAATTAGGTTGGTTTCTCTGAATTCATGGTCTCTTGTTTGATCTTGGGTGTATCTTTGCAATCTTCAAGCTTCCGATAAGCAGTGTTGCGAATGTGCATCCATTTTGTAGCTGGTGGGCTTGGTAGCGGTAGCAAGGAGCTCAACCTTCCTTTGCCAATCTGAAGTCCTTTCTGTGCGGAATACGTACGTCTGGTCGTGTGTCCTTTTCCAATCATGCGTGCGTTGTGCGAAGGCATACTTCTTGGCTTTGATGGTGGCCTCCGGAACTAGCGCAATGTGCAATCTGGAAAGAGCGCAAGTTCAGCTACCTCCATGGTAGGAATCCAAGACATGTCAGCCAGGTTGAGCGTCCCACAATGCCACATGGCGTTCCATGGGGTTGTTTCGCTATTGGTCGCTTCATCCTTCTAACATAATGTTTCGTCTTGCCATGCGGGGAAACAATTTGGTCGAATGTTTGCTAACCTCCCGCTAGCCTTTTGATGAGCTGCCAGGAGGCTTCCCAGAAAAGCGTTTGCGCGGTTGACCTCTCGCCTCCGAGTCTCCCTCCCGTAACCCAGGAGAAACGATCGCTTGGATCGATAGTGGAGACACAGTAGAGCACCGCATTCCCTGGAGGTCGTAGCAGCAGATGACTACCTGAGCCACGAACTGACCAAAGAGGAACAGCAGACGGTGGCGCTGTTTCAGCGATGCAGCAACGCCGTGGTTCACATCAACACCTTCATTAGCAGGCACTGGCTTGTGTCAATATGGGTGTGTGGTTTCTGAGGTTACCCTTTTTCTGAAGGCAAGCCAATAGCGAGCCACCATGTATTGCTTGGGGGTCCTACTATTCTGCCATGTGTCTTGAGGGTGCCCTTCTTGGGGTGTTCAAAAGAGGAGCGAAAGGGGAAGGATCCCATTACGCAGGATTCATCGATTTGCAGATACACCCATGTGTTGAAAGGAAGCAAAAAGGCAGCTACCCACCAAGGCTACAAGGGCTCCATAAGTGACCGACCGTTTTGTGCATGCACCTTCCCCAACGAAGACCTACACCACTGATCAGACCATGTTGCAAAAGGGACAATATTGCGGCCCCTGTTCCTTGCTGCAGTGTGTGTGTGTGTGTGTGTGTGTGATCGGGCCATTCGAACAAGCCAGATTCACAGGGAGCCATGGATATTCATCACCTTGGGCTGCCCCTTGAACTTGAGGATTCCATTCGGCCGCAGCATAAATTGTTCGATACCTCTACTGAAAGCCGGGTTCGCCTGCACTCGGTTTGCCCTTTGCTTCTCTTCGGTATGCGTGAAAATCGGTGGAACCGTAAGGAACCTTCCTGGCTTCACGCGAAAAACTCCCGTTAAACCAAAAACCGACGGCCCACCCCCCCCTTCCCCCGCCCCCGCCAGGGAGAAGGTCCTCCATGGCTTCGGCCGAGAGTTGGAGGAGCAGGGCGAGGGCAGCGGCTTCCTGTGGGATGACAACCACATTGTGACCAACTACCACGTCATTATGGACAGGGGCTGATGTTTAGCCACCTGCGGAACGAACGGCATGGCCAGAGCGCTAGTTTATGAGAATGGATTCAAGCTGTATGCCGCCAAGTACACTGGAAATAAACACCTATGATCACCTATGCAACAATTTCAACACCCATGCGAATTAGGCTGCACTTCGCTCATCGCAAAGACATTGCATCTACGATTACACCGCGCTGTGGAAGCAAGTGTCGAACGATGCCAAAATAATGCAACAGGCTTGTCACCGTGAAGAAGTAATACCAAACCAAGGACACCCATTCTTAGAACATGGCATCTTGACAACAAACTTGCATCATGGTTACTTCAATTTTGCGTGTGTTTGTTTCCGCATTTGGGCGTTCGCTCAATTTCACTTTGGCGAGAACAAGCCTCCGGCGGCGAATTTTAGCCTTTGGCACAGGTGTTTTTCGCTTGGGTGACAAAGGTATGTATATCTTGACAAATGATGCGCTGGCACAAACAAAGTGTGAACATGGCACTTCGATATGTAAGCAAGCCGCATGTGTTTTGTTGTTTTTTGTTGTTAACAAAATTGGTTTGAACGACGCCCTTGTGTCAGGGGGAGATCCCTTTGCCATGTTCCGAGCACATGGTTTTGTTGCGTAGCCTCAACTCAATTAGAGTTGGGGTTTCAGCATTCATGCGGCCTCAGCGTTGTGATCATGGCACCTGCCCCTCCAGAGCTTTCACTTTGAGACTTACAAATACCCCTTTATAGCTTGCTGCGACTGATGCATGAAGTAGTATCATATGCGATGCCGATGTTTGCCAAAATGAAAGCTACAAGCCGTTCCGTCAAAAGTCAATAAACAGAACAAGGCGGGCAAGCAAAGCACCAGTAATTAAGATGTTCAAAGAACACGGCCAGGGTTCCAGGAACTGACTCTCAAATTTACCAGTAGTTTTCGATGCCGAAGCGGCTTGACTCACCTCAGAAAACTCATCCGCTCGCGCAATCCCCGCCCATGGCCACTTTTGCAGGAGCCTGAAACTCCGCTAGTATACGGATTTGTTGAATTGATTCTGGATGTTGATGTTGTCCCCGTCTAAGATGGTTTCCACCGTCCAACCGCTACGGAGGTGAAGCCCAAGGGAACCGGGACACAGTACCCTTCACTTCACTGTTCTTGGCATGTTTTTTGGTTTTTTAGTTTTTTGGTTCTGTTCATGTTTACTGGGGGTCTGCAAAAAACAAAGTTTGTGCTACGATACCAAGAGTAAAAGGGTTCATGTGGCTATTGTCGTGCTTGTACATCCCAAATGTGAGATCGATGTGGGGCCAGTGGAAGCCATCTTCAACACTGAAACGCCTCCTCAATGTGTTGCATGTTGGTATGTCTTGGGTTGTTTTTCAAAATGCCCCCACAACGAAACACGGTGAACGACGAAACACAAAACTATGAAAAACATCGCCTGATGTCTCCGTCGCGGTTTTCCTCGTGCAGGACGCGGACAAGGCCACGGTGACCTTTGCAGACCACTCCTCGCATGAGGCGTTTCTGGTCGGAGTAGAGCCCGACTGCGATTTGGCGGTGCTCCGGTGCAAGCCACTTGCCATGAAGCCCCAAACTCGCGCATTTGTTTGCTTAGACTATGGGCGCGTGTTTTTATTGAACCAAGCCTTGTCAGATTGGATTGAGGGGAAACCAAAAGGAAGACCACCATTTTGTCCCCCATTCTGACACACACCCAATCGTAGGTGTCCTTTTGGTTTTCCTTTGAAACAGGATGCAAAGGGTACCAAAGCCAACAAGGACACCCCCAGACAGTCCGATGATCCCGGGATCTGGATACACACAAGGATGGGTGTTTCACCTGGAAGCAGGATCTTTCTGCAGCATGGAGCCTTGACTGCATGAACACGATGCAGGTGTTCATGGATCCTGAATACACTGCTTGGTACGCGCAGTGCATGCGACATTCCTTACGCCAATCTCAACAAACCACGTTTACAAGCTGGGTGCAGGTCGGCACCCAGGACAGTCTGCTTGTAAGTGACAAGTCAGGCCCTCAAACCGGATTTGCGACTGGGGCGTTTTGAGAAAGGGGCCGCACAGAAGGGACAGCAAAGCGCAAACAAGCACCACGGCCTGGGTGATTGCGTAAGCTACACCCGGTCGCGTAAGCTCGCACAAGCACCTGGGCGGAAGAGTTGCTAAAGGACTTTTTGAACGTCGCTCAGACTGCAACTTTTGGTGTTCCGTCCTGCGGCAGCGGGCTCGCGAGCCACTAGGCCATGTTAATTGGAAAATAGGTGTAGATATGAATATTCCCATGTTTACCTGTTCCCAACTCGCACAGGTTTCATGAGTTTCCTTGCATCTCATGCTTGTAACCACACAACCCTTAGCTTCCCCGTTAGGTCCCACCCGGACATCGTTCCCCTGCAGCGGGGCTCCTCGAATATGCTCATGGTCGGCCAAAAGGTGGGGCCCGTCGCTCGCTTGGTGGATCAACGTTGGAATACCTTGCTTATGTCTCTTCTATCGACGGCTTGTTCTATAGATGTGTCAAACCTGGTTTGTGCCCTGGTTAGAATGTCAGAGTGAGCTGTTCTCAAGATGAAAGGGGTTGGCATGGATGGAACTAGTCTGCATCGAAAGGGATTCTTGCGCAGCTTAGGGTCAACCTGAACGAATTGGAGCATCTCCTCTTGGAGGTGTTACATTGTCTGGCTGTGGTTGTCACAAATCGGGTAAGCCCAAAATGCGTTGCCCGATCGGGAAATGGAAACGTGAACTAAAACCAGTGGTCCATATCCTGGTGGTTTAATTTTGACCCATACCCATCTGACTAGGCTCTTAGATCAGCCTTTTTTGGGACTTCACAAAACCATGGGCTGACTCGCCGTGGCCTGGTTGTTTAGAACCATGGCGTGAAGAGTTGCTTTTCTGAATGCATGTTGGCCATGTCTTGCGTGCCTTGGAGCTGTTCCCAAAGAAAGGTCGACCTCCGGGCCCGCAGCCTGGACTCAAAGATGGCACTGCCTTCGAGTCCACATGCAAGCTTTATATCAAAATGATACGTGTCCTTCTGGTTGATTAGAAACTGCCTGTTTAGAACAGCAAGCTTGATTTGTATGTGCGTGTGTTGTTGTTTCGAGCATCTTCAAACGCTCTTCATCGCTAGGGGCTGATTATCTTTCGACATATCACATGTCTAATGACTCGCCACACACTCCTCTACTTTACTTTCGGCGCCCGCCCCCAAACAGATGTCCTTGCTACTGGGCAATATAAAGGTGACCTGTGCGCTTGGCTGGAAGGCTTTGGCTGTTGCATCTCTCCCACTTATTTGATTTTAATACGGAGCATTTCTGTGACGGCTGACGTTTGTCCAGAATTGTGCCGCATGGCACACACACACACGCCCGAACGCTGTGAAACGCAAGATTTGCACCTTCTAGTCCCGTGGCTGCTTGCACCACCGACAACTGTAGACAGGAGGGCACATCGGGACTTTTCTAGCATCCACATGTTCCTAATCCGCGCTGAGGCGGGCACATGTCTGTCATTGCTAATGTTGTTATACATCATGGCATGTGAGCTCCTGATCATTTCAATCATGGCCTGAATATAAAGCATTGAGGGCACTGCGATAGGCACGGACTTCACATTGTGCCCCTGCAGGTCTTCGCCATTGGGAACCCTTTCGGCCTGGACCAGACGTTGACCAACGGCATCGTCAGCGGCCTGGGCCGGGAGATGCGCTCGGTGTCGGGCAGGATGATGCGGAACCATGACCAGACTTAGCTTATACCATTTCCGTGCTTCTCCCGAAAACGAAGGAACCACCAGCAAAACCACATGTGTCTTTCAACCACCAGCAAAAACCACGTGTTCCTTTGCTTTCCCTTTCAACCACCAAGCAAAACCACCTGTGTCCTTGGTTTTCCCTTTCAACCACCAAGCAAAACCACCTGTGTCCTTGGTTTTCCCTTTCAACCACCAGCAAAACCGCGTTTTTCTTTGCTTTCCCTTCAACCACCAAGCAAAACCACCTGTGTCCTTGCTTTCCCTTGCAACCACCAGCAGAGCCACGTGTTCCTTTGCTTTTTTTTTCAACCTGTGTCGTTGGTTTTCCATTTCAACCACCAGCAAAACTACGTGTTCCTTTGCTTTCCCTTGCAACCACCAACCAGAAGTTCAGAAAGCAGATCCACTCTGTGCGAGGAACTTGGTGCAGACGGACGCGGCCATCAACCCGGGGAACTCCGGTGGCCCGCTGCTGGACGCCCGCGGCAGGCTGATCGGCGCCTCAGACAAGTGGTGTCGAGTCGAAGCTGGCGGCTTCACCCTGGAACCCGGAGGCAGCCACCCAAACTTGACTGCTATTGGGTTGAATCTTTAGACTTTCACTTGTTGGGAAATAACGGGGTTTTCCACTAAACCCCCAAAAAGTTAAACCTTTTTGCAGGGGGGTCATCAGCAACCAAGCAAAGGAGTCATGACTTCATTGTCTTCATTTCTGACCTGATTGAATATATGAATGATTCAGGTGGTTGCTTTATGGGTCTAGGAACAAGTTGAATCACTCAAATGCTTTTGACGTCTTAAATGAACACGTGGCCAGTGCGTTCTCAGTCGATATAGATGTCTGTGGTGTCCTGCCTTTTTCAACACATACAACTGGTTTGGAACTGACTTGGAGGTCAAGTCTGGGCTCCAGACCATGTTGAGTGGCTGAAGGGTCAGCAAGTTTACTTTGGGTTCAGGCGTGGGGATCAATGACCTTGCGCTTAACTTCACCTGGACAGATGAAACCAGGATGTTTAGGTAAATGGGGATTGGGTGATCTCCTCAAGCTTGTCAAGACATGAGTCTAATGGCAAGAAATACCTGTTGAGGTTCCTCGCTTAGGCTGATGAACACGCGTGAGCTAGCCAGGCGAAAACATCATGGGGAACTGATGTATGCCCTTGCTTGCTTGTATTTTATGCCTCCAGCCTCCAACGGATATCACACAGCCGAAGTGTGTTGTTGATTTGTTTTCTGGTTCAAATCCTCATGCCGCAAGCAAACTGATATGCTGGGTAGTGGGCTGGGTAAGTATCTTGTATGTTGGGTGTTTGTATAGCATGTTCTTCGCTTCACACAACTAAATCATCAGAACTGATGATACTAGACCATTCAGGGATGGTTTCCACCCCAACCACTGCCCTGAGAGGATCGAACGGTGTATATATGTATATACGAAGGGGCATAACTCTAGTGGCTATGCAGCGGTATTGATACACCGTTTCCTGTGGGATGGCAGCTTGACTCTCTTAGCTACTGGTATGATGTGGCCGGGGGAGCAGGCGTCGTGTGGATCAAAGAAGCCTGCGGCAAATTCGGACCATTGTTGAATGCCACTAAATACCACCACAGTCATGGTTTGGGTGAAGTCAACATTGCTTCGGAACCTGAGACACATTGGCATACTGGATTGAGCGCATCTCATGTGTTGTTTGCTTGATGGTATATGCTACGAAGCTTTGCGGCAATGATGTTCACTGCAACTGATAGACTGCAAGGTACCCCCCTGGTCCACTAGTCAAAGCTACAACTAGGATCCTGGTGAATCAGCTATGCCCCTTGTATAGAAATGCTGATCCTGGTCAAGAAACCCTGCCCCAATTCAAATGCCTCCCCGCGTCCGCGATGAATCTTTCAACCATCATCAGTGTGGATTGCTCATAGGGTCGGTTCCCCACAAAAACAGGCATTGGAACACTAATGTTTGAGTTGTTTTAGGTTCCGCTTTAAGCAGAATAACATGGTACAATACGCTCTCTGCATGGTTTACAGTTGCTTCCGATTTCGATTTGGTTGAGAAGTGTTGTGGACGTTTTCCGGAACAAGGTGACGGTTTGATATTACAATTCGTTGTTGACTTTGGAACGATTTGATTGCCACCCTGTTTTCTCACCACAGCTGGGTCAGAATCTTTCAACCCCAAACCGATCTCCCTACATTACTCAATCCTGCAGCTCAAGCCCAAGTTTCAATCACGCAAACGCAAGCAGCCGTACGCTCCATCTCCTGAGCCACACTTTGCGGCGAAGTCACCAATCGCCATTTTCTCAATTCGCGTGGACCGGCCCTAAACCCACCGAAGGCCAACTTGGGCAACCCGAAATCACCCCACCCCACCCTAGCCCCACCCCCACCCCCACCCCACCCCCACCCCACCCCCCCACCCCCACCCCAACCCCAACCCCCACCCCACCCCACCCCACCCCCCCACCCCCACCCCCACCCCAACCCCCACCCCACCCCACCCCACCTACCCCAACCCAACCCCACCCTACCCCAACCCAACCCCACCACACTCCACTCCACCCCACCCCCTCAAGGTGTGAACACCATGATTGCCAGCCCCTCGGGCGCCTGGGCGGGAGTGGGCTTCGCCATTCCGGTGGACACGGTGGCGCGGGTGGTGCAGCGCCTTGGAATCCCACCGACTTCCCAGTTGGGTGGCGCGTGTTTGTTTTTAATCGGTACCCTTTCGGGGTGGTTTAGCTAAACAGGAACGCTACCACTTTATGGGGTTGCCCCTATTTGGCTATTTTGGCGGGTTGCGCTGGTGGCCTACCAGGGGAACAACAAAGGCGATTTCTCGGTCAAGAGCAAAGGGGGGCCCAACAGCCAACCGCCCAAGAACGTTTTTGTGAAGGTATTTTCTCCGGTTCAGACAGATCAATGTTGTCCGAACTGCCTTGAGCTCCGACTGCCTGTCGGCCTGTCGGCAGAATCAAAGGAAGCTGGGTTGCTTTCTCTTGTAGCCTTCCAGTTTGAAGGTAGTTGTATAGTAAAGCAATGGTGGAGGTTGAAGGATTTAGAATAGTGTAGATCAGTTTCACCCGGTTTCAGGAGAACACCGGATTGCCCTCTATATTTGTTACATGTTTCCCCAACACCCGGGATTCCATTTTCATTTCCCTTTCAACCGAATCCGAAAAGGGCACGATTATCAAAGGAGATAACTATGCGCAACATACTGTGGACGGACAAAATGCTCACACCTGTTGGTAGGTGGCTGTAGGTGATTTTCATTTGTCCCAGTATTCGTACGCTGTCGTCTATCCCAACTAGTTTGAAACTGATTTTGTCCACCCGCAGTAGGCGACCGTGGTCCTGGTTTTGTGAACCAGCTTCTTGCCGGCGTGTCTCCAACTAAGTGACCCCCCAAAATCTAAAATCTGCTAAATTCCCTTTGGGTATTTTTCCGGACCACAAAATCTGGTTGTGTTCCTTTCGTTGTTCTTTTTCCCACCAATGGTTTCGAAGACGCAGACACGTCAGGCAGATCATCAAGTACGGCCACGCCAAGCGCGGCTTCCTGGGGCTGTTTTTGGCCCCTGACCAGCTGAGTCAGCAGCTGTCGCGGCACGCGCGCCGCCAGGAGATGGAGGAGATCCAGGGAGCGCCCGAGACGGGGTTTGGGCGTGGCGGGAGTTGGTGTGTTAGGTTGGTTTAAAGGGAAACCTAAAGGAAAACAAACAGTTCTTGGGAGGCCCCCTGTTTTGACACATACCCGTTTGTGTGTGTGTGTGTGTGTGTGTTTTGTTGAGGCGAATTATGGGGGGCATACGTTTTGCA